CCAAAAGGGGAGATAAAAGTTGTTCTCTGGTGACAGGATGTCTATTTACAGTTGTGTGTAACTCATCAACGTATTTTCCAGGAAAGCTACGGCTCCTCTGGTATCTTTTATTCCAAGTCAATTTCCTTTGCTTGAGGAAATTACCTATGCACTTTATATCTTTCAACAAAAACTGAATATAATTGCATTATTTTTTAAGTGTACTGTAACAGCACACAAATGTTTATGGAATTTGTAATTGGACTGGTGTTATAAGATACTGTAGCTTCAGTCATTTAATGGTTTTTAACTATCAACATACAATGTTATACAGAAAGAAACACTGTATACTGTACTTGGAGGCCCTGGTGTAGGTCCAACATATGGGTTGTATGGAGGTGGCTTCTCTGACATCTTTGGATGTACAGTATCTGGTTAACTATACGTCAAATTCTTTGTTCTCGAGACAACACTGTACCAAACTGTTGGGAAATAAACAATATCAATTATTTTCTTAAACAAGTGTGATTAAGTAAATTTAGCCAAGCAGGCATCCTTCAATATCTACGTAAGAAAAAAAGGACATTTCCATCTCTTATTGGGCTGCGGCCAAATAAGATCAAGAGAATAATGAAACTGTCAGCACTAAGTCATGGTTAAATCTAATTACTACCTGAAGATTATGTACCCAACTTATTTCATTTAAAGATTAACTAAACCTTAATGCTACTTAGGGGTGGGGTGGGTATGGGTGGTGGGTGGGTATAGGTGGGTGGGTGGGTGGGTGGGTGGGTGGTGGGTGGGTGGGGTGGGTAAGGTGGTGGGTGGGTGGGTGGGTATGGGTGGGTAAGGGGTGGGTGGGTATGAGGTGTGTGGGGGGAGGGGGGGTAGATTAGATTCGGTTATTAATATTAGTTAATATAATCTGTTTTTAAAACATGAGTATTTCTGGTTTTACCTGCATGCAGAAGTGTATGATATTCCTGTCAATTTTATACCACATAACACTACACACAGAGCATATAGTATTAGTGCCTGTAGCTGAATTATAGTGATTTTGAAAATATCGTGAATCGCGTAAACAATGGAAATAGTAAAAAAGGCTCATAAATCGGTAATGCACAACTTAACAATGAAAACCAGCTATTTCTACTCCCCATAGGACCCCTCTACGTACCTATACTGTACAGGTATAGGATTTAGGTACAGTATACGTATACACTAATGTGAATGGAATCACTAAACAGGGTACTTTTTCCACTATGGTTCCTGCACTATTATGAGAGAAGCCATTTATTATGTCCGCAGATGGCTGCATTTCTCCAGTAACCATATAGCACAGGTTTACAGGCATGGGATATCAACAAAGTGCATGTATTGGCAGGCATGCTGTATCTAAAAATTTTCCGCTAGCCTGCAATTGTTCTCAAAATGTGTGGGGATATCTTTTAAAATTCTTAATGGCAGAAACAGTAGGTAAAGCATCAGCCAGCCCTTCAGTCAAAGGGACTGGCTGAAGGGAAGAATGACGACTCATTGTGAACGCAACGGTTCAGCACTGGTGAATAACAGTCATAATTTATACACAATTTCTTTAATTAATTGTTATGCTTGCTTTCTATTTTTTTTTTGGGGCACTTGACAGTCTGAACAAAAAATATATAAAGAATGGATGGGAGTTTTTTGGGTGGGTGGTTGCTCCCTAATTAGTTATATTCTTATGGGATTAATTGCTAAAAAACTGCTGATTCACTATATGTTGACTTTTCAGTCCACATTACAGTAAGTACATCAGTTATTGGGATTTACCTGTACAGTATTTATGGAGGCAGTGGGCTGTAGGCCTAACTACATCTCGAGCAAAGCCATGCTCCATCACTCCTTTACCCAATGTAACATCATAGCCTAACCTAACCAGCATGACATTTCAGAATCAGTTGGGTAACTGCCTGGCTGAACTGTGTCACATCACCCAGAGGATGGTTTGAGTGTAAAAAGATTTATTTTCTTTTACATAAATATAACCTATTTTATTCTATGATAAGGTGTCCCCAGCGTTACGGAATCCCTGGTTATGGAATTTCGCCCTTACGGAATTTTGGTAAATTACCCGTTAAGTAAAAATCACAATTCTTAATCCAATTTTTTCCAAACAATTTTAACATTTTATTTACTGTGGATTGTCTGTGGTAGTCACAAGACATTTGGAAGGCCACTCACTTCCCCAGTTGCCAGCAACCAACATAATAATGGCACTGCTCAGTTACAATTTTTTTCCCAGTTTGTATTCAATTATGCACCTGTGTTACTGTGTACCCTTATTCAAGATGAAGGGAAAAATGCCATGTAGTTCAAACGAAAGCAGTGGGGATAAAAGATTCCATTAAGGAATAGCGTTGGACTATAAACTTGATGTTTTAAGGAGGTAACTCCCAGCAACTACAATTGCACCACTTCACCTCACCACCACCTGCAGCACTCAACATTGTTTCTGTTAAGTAAAATTTGAGCGTTTAGCTAAATTATCATCATGTTACATCACGAATGACTCATTGTATGTGGTTAAAAGCGTCTAATTTCATACCTATATGTTCTTGCGTTACGTTTCTGGGCCTCAAAAAATTTACATAGGAATGCATTTCAACTTATATAACTGAATTTAATGGGAAAAATGGTTTCGTATTACAGAAAGATTTTCAGGAATGGGATGCCTGTACTACGTATTAGTTTTATTGTTTAACTTGGCATTTTTTTCATCAACGGGCAATGTTCGGTGGATCTTGCATCCCGTGTACCGCCGGTAAGGCCGTGGGCTCGTAACACACGTCTTGCCCGCCATTTCTCTGTGGATGTCAGTTACACTAGAATAACCCATTATAGTACCTCCTTCTTTCCTCACACAGCCAAACTGTGGAATGCTCTGCCTCCTTCTGTGTTTCCATAATCATACAATGTCCCACTTTAAAAAGCTGGTTTTCCGGCATCTTCGCGGTGTAGATTAATGCAGTAGTATAACCTTTTCCTTTTTATTTTTTATTTCCTTCTACTCTTATTTTTTGCCCCGTTGTGGGTCGTTGACCTGTGCCCAGGTGGGCTAATCCCCGAAAAAAAAAAAATAAAATAAAATAAATAAATAAATTTGTTCGAATTTGCCTCAACCTTATGGTGCCAATACATTTAATCAATCGTTTAACATCAAAACCATTTAATAACAAACCCATTTAATATTAGGTATTACAGCTACTCCCAACTTACGACGGGGTTAGGGACCGACATCCAAGTCGTAAGTAGAAAAGGTCGTAAGTCGGAAATGCTTAAATAATACATAGAAAATATAAAATGGGGGTCTCTTTTTTTCTTCTCAGCACCACAAAACACTCCCTTTTAAGTTTGCCAGCCATTTTAAAGTGAATTACAGATGAAATTTTTGTCTGCGTACTGACTTTGGGACTCGAAAATACATAATTTGACCAAATTTTGGTACGACTGAGGCAGGTCGTAAGTGCAAGTAGACGTAAATCGAGTAGGTCGTAAGTCGGGGAGGAGCTGTACAGTGTACTGTACTGTACTGTAATTGGTGTTTACTGCCCTGCCATTTGAACTTGTTTGACCTCCATGTTTTGTTATTATCCCTTGTTTAGATATAATTTTGCTTAACATTAAGTTTCACAGGACTGCAACCCCCACCATTAAATGAGGGATACCAGTACAATGTTTGATGCTGATTATGGTGATAATAGTTAGGTTAGGTTCTCTGTTTTTTAACTTTAAAATTGCATAACAAATGTTTTTTTCCATGTCAAACTACACACAACTGCCATGTAGCAACTGTCCACCATGGTAATCTAGGGCCTAAATTCCAGCCACACAGCCTGTGGGACAGATAGCAGCAATGTTACATCCATGGAGCAACTACATAAATAAAGTACAATATAATGCCACCGTATTTGGTAAGCTTCTTTTAATGTTTCCATGAATGGAATAAAACAGTCCAGACAGAAACAATAGAGATTTGGTGTCCTAGAGCACAGGTATAGAAGTGTTTAGGACAGAAAAAATGGTAAAGACATTAAAAAAAAAAAAAATTGTGGTTATTATTTTGAAGTTGCCAAGCTTGGAACTCTATTGATTCTTATATAGGGTGATAAAGAAAAAAATATTACTACCTGCATAGTGTTTCCATTGGGAGTTTATAGTTTTCAAGTTGTTTAGATTTTTCTATTTCATTTTAAAAGATGGTAATTTGAGGAAATCATTACCACCAGAGGGAGTTGTTTGATTTTGTTCATTTTTTCTACAGAAGTTCTTATCGTTATAGTAAGTACAGGTATTTTAAAAGGCAACAACTTTTTATTTTAATTATAAGTACAGTATTTTTTTATTTATTTTTTTAGTTTTTCTGTATCTACGATCATAAATCACCTGTAGTGGGGAGGGTATAAAGGATGAGGGAAATTGCGGTGTAAAACATGGTGAAAAAGTGATTATATTACACTAAAATTGTCTACATGCTTTGTATGTGAAGAAATTAATTACTGTATTTACCGTAAATACAGTAATCCTAAAGAAATCTGCCGTGTTGTCGTCTGTTCTGTTTGTTTACAACCAACCTGCTTGGTGGAGTATATCCCCATGTTCACAAAATGTAAAATTACACCATGACGTTTCAACAAAGTTGTTTTCATTGGTACCAGATATCAAAATAAGTACTTTCTGATTAATATGGAGAGGGGTCCAGAAGTTAGGTAAGGTTAGGTAGGATTCTTCGGTTGGTTAGGTCAGGTCCCATTAGGTATTAATTAATACTGCCTCTTTTAAAATTCTTACTGTAATGATAAGAACATCTGTGGGAAAAAATTAACGAAATCAAACAACTGGTGGTTGTGGTGTTTTCATACATTACCAAAATTAGTACATATTCACAGGGAAATCTATTGCTTATTTATTACTCAGCCAATTAGTGTAAGTTTGGATGTCACATGATACTTGTGAGACAATCAGCAGAAGACTTGTGAGCATGTGCAAGCTCTGGAATTGAAATGTGGAGTTGCAAGATGGCATTTGTTTGTGATGGTTACTGCTTGGCAGATTGGCACATAATTCAGCACTTTTCTGAAAACGAAGCTGTAGCTGATGATATCTTAAGGGCGACCTGTGGTGTAATAGTCAGCCTGCTCGCCTTGTAAGTGAGTAAACCTGGGTTCGATCCCCGGCAGGGTAAAAGCTATGAGCAAATTTCATTACACAATTTCTCTCTGTCTACCCAGCAGTAATTGGGGGCCTGAATGTAAATCGATATGCGGATCGTATTTGGGGTACCCTAATGATAAGCCAGTGCAGTTGGCGAGCTGTCCGGACTATTCCTTGCAGCTCATTAACTCAGGGTGCAGTTGTTGTGGTGAAGAGAGCTTCTACACCTTAAACAAATTCACGCATAGGTGGCCCTTGGGTCGGCTATCCTCATTACACGAGGGGTAACCATTATACTTTTAAGGGCTCATGGTGTTCTCACTTTTTCAGTTATGTCTACGGTGTGATTCAACTGTCATTATTGTGAACAGCAGCATACTTGGTATTGCAGTAAGAGACAGACACTCCCCAAGAGGAAGATATCTCGTAATTGTGGGTTTACAGTGTTTTAACACAATACTCCACCACTTCCTCATTCAAGTGGCATCACTTTATCCTCCTGCATCTGTTAATTAAGGTAAGTCTTTTACACATCTGGAGTTCAAAAGGCTTTGCCCCTCTTGGCTAGGAGGTTAGGGCAGGTCCTTCTGGCTTCTCTGGTTAGGTGGTTTTGTTAGGTTTCATTTCATCCTTTTTTTTTTTTTACCCCACATTTGCCTACACCTATATAAGTCGTATTTCAAAGCCCTGCCCACTTTGTGCAAACAAGTATTGTGTGGTAACTGAGGGGGTGTCATATCCCTATAACTCCTCATTTCCGTGCTTGGCAACTAAATATTTTCCAGGTATTATTTTAGTTACGGTCATAAGGGAATTTAACCCCCACCAGAAAGGGGCGGGTGAAGCCCCCTCAGTTAGGTTAGATATAGTTTCTGGGTTCTGTGACTGTTAGGTTAGGTTGGTTATGCTTGATATCTAAATACAGGGATGGCCGAAATTAAAATTTTACCACTTACCAATTTGGGGGATTTTTCATGAGTTAAGATAGCATTTACTTTTATAGAAAAATTTCAAATGTCATCATGACTAATACGCACAACTATACAATTATGTAACGGACGTAACACTTGCTACCAAATATCAATCCATACGCTAACAAATAAAAAAAACACACTTTTTATGTAATCCTTTCGAAGCAGTATTAAAATTACAGTAGTATACTACACAGTACTATGAAACAATCCTCCACTTCCAGCTGGTAAAACTGACCTCCATATTAAGTTTACCGTGTATAAAGAAGCCTTTAAACCTACAACAATATACCTTACAACGTTTATCTTTGCCATAAATGCCTGTATATTATTCAGTCCTTACCAAGAAATACTTGTCAACAGGAATCCAAAGAGCTGCAAATGATATGAGAAGCAGTAACTCCCCCCCGATGTCACAGACTCACGTGAATCTGAGTAACACTGGGAATAATAAGGAGAGGATGGACGTCAGCATGTAAACAAAAGAGGAATCTACGTTTATAGCGACATGTGGCAGTGTGTATGGTACAGCCTGTGTAAATTATGTTAATAGATGGCGTTAAGTTAACACGTCATGGCTTTAATATTTATTATAGTTAGATATTCAATAAAATCGGCATACAGGTCCACATTGGTTCAGCGTGTACATATAGACAATGCAGGTATACTTAGTTTAACAAATTTATTGGCAAAGCTTGTAGTACAGTTTGCCGGGTCTGACTAATTACCCAAATGTAGCCGCAATTAAGTCAAATAATGGTCCTACGTGAATAAATCGGACTGCCAATCACTTCTCGACTAATATTTGGTGTCACAAAGTAAAAAAAAAATGGAAAACGTAATTTAATCTGAGTTAATAGATCGCGTGCATGTACCGAGGGAGCGAGTAATTACGCAAATGTACCCAAATGTAGCCGCAATGAAGTCAAATGATGGTCTTAAAAGAATAAATCGGACTACCAATCACTTCTCGACTGGTATTTGGTGTCACGAAGTCACAAAAAATTGGTAAACTTAATTTAATCCGAGTTAATAGATCGAGTGCATGTATCTAACCTAACCTAACCTAACACAACTCATTAAATTAAGTTTACCAATTTTTTGTGACTTTATGACACCAAATATCAGTCGAGAAGTGATTGGTAGTCCGATTTATTCTTGTAAGACCATCATTTGACTTCATTGCGGCTACATTTGGGTACATTTGCGTAATTACTCGCCCCCCTCGGTACATGCACGCGATCTATTAACTCAGATTAAAGTAAGTTTTCCATTTTTTTTTTACTTTTTGACACCAAATACTAGTCGAGAAGTGATTGGCAGTCCGATTTATTCATGTAGGATCATTATTTGACTTAATTGCGGCTACATTTGGGTAATTAGTCGGACCGCAGTTTGCCTATTCTGAGTAATTCGGTCAGGTCTTGACACAGGGTGTTATCACTTCTCACTGCCACGCAGGACAGAGGTTTATACACAAAGAAATACATCATATTCTTTAACAGCTATAAATGTATTGAGGTCAGATTCATGTGGGTAATGTCACTGTTCACTGCCATGCAGGACAGAGGTTCGTACACAAAGAATGCATCATATTCATTGACACTATATATAGGTCAGATTCATGTGGGTAATGCCACTGTTCACTGCCATGCAGGACAGAGGTTCGTATACAAAGAAGGAAATACATCATATTCATTAGCAGTATATATAGGTCAGTGGGTCACATACATTGGAGTCATATTCTAATTGAAGACTAATGAGTGTGGGCTAGCAAATTTGGGATAAACAGCAAGAATGTCCTCAAGCACCCCTGATTCAATGTAGTAATTACATAGTTCAAGATACAATAAGTCAGGTGGCCTGAAGTCTCTGACAGTGTCACATTCAATAATATACAAACACTAAACACTGTGGCAGACAGTTTAGTCATTTAAAAGGAAAATGAAAGAAACCTTTTAAATGCTTTATTCACACGGGGTCATTTATTCTAAAGTTATACATTCTATCAGGCACAATTAAGGAACACAAGGTCTATAAGTTTATTGTAATTTACTTTATCAAAAGCCAGGGCCGATCCGAAGTATAGGCAGACTAGGCGAAGGCCCAAAGCCCATCAATGGACCTCCTGAGACTTTCAGGAATAAAGTTAAGAATTTTTGCTATACGTGTTATACGTCCTATAAAAAAAATTTGCACCTAACAAAGCATTATTACCGTTGTCTTGTACAGTAATATAATTAAATCTGGATTTGCTTTCAATTTTATTTCCTGGCATTTTATTGGCTTTCTAGTCGCAATAGAAACAACAGGTAAAGGTTTGGCAAACCTTATTCAGGAGATACTCGAGAACACAAGCATATGAAGTTCAAAATTAGTGATTTCTTTTGTCATTTATTTTCTTATTTTATAACGAAAATCCCAACCATGACAAATTTATCTTAACGTGTGAATCTTTTATGGTTTTAAATTGCATTTTCTATCATGTAAACGCCATTCGTTTTCTTTCATTCGTGAGACAGTCTTAATCGAGAAAAAAAATCACAAAGTTTTCCTTCTTGTTTAATATTTGACGGTGGCTGGGCCGACAGAAACTTTGTAAACAATGGTGCAATAATTTGCCCTAGATACCTTTATTCATGTTAATTTATTCAACAAATTAGAAGTCAAAGAACCCGTTGTTTAAGTCATAGATACACTATTTCCACCAGCTCCCGTAAATTGTGCTTGTTCGTAGTTATTTCTGTTTGATTCATAAGAAACGGAAAACTTCGTACACAACATCACAACATCCGTCATGACTCACACTCGGCAGATAGAGCTATATGTACCGACACAGAAAATTAGCCGAGTTTTCGCTCAATTACTGTACTCAGAATTGTAAACTATTTGAACTACCTGCCAGAAAATGTGACAGAACCGAGTGTGAGCTCTTTCAAGACAAGACTTGACCAACAATGCATTGGTTCAGTATGTACAGATACATTTACTTTTACTTTATCCTCTTCGCCACTGATCGGCTCGTTAGCCGCTTGGGCGATCGGTCACGTCTCTGTTACGCACTGTTGGCAAGTCCTGGGCATGCCCGGCTCCTGAATGTCCCTGAACCCGTTCCAGTGTTGGTCAAGTCTTGATTTGAAAGAGCTCACACTCGGTGCCGTCACAACACTTTCTGGTAGATTGTTCCAAGAGTTCACAACTGTCACTCCGAAAAAGTTTGCCCTCGCAGCTTTCTGGACTTGAGGCTTCTTCAATCTTGAGCTGTGACTCCTTGTGGGGCGAGCGTCCGCCAGCTCCAAGTAAGGACACTCGATTGAGTAGTGCCCCTTAGGATGCTTATACACCTCACTTAGGTCTCCCCCTTGCCCGTCTGTAGTATAAGCTCGGCAAGTTCAGGCGCTCCAATCTCTCAGGGTAGCTGAGGTGCCGAAGGGCAGGCACCTGTCTGGTGGCCCTCCTTTGAACATTTAAAAAAAAATGACAGTCCCTTGCATATCTCGGGGACCAGACGGGGTGACAGTACTCCAGATGGGGAAGGACTCTTGAAGATCGTTACGAGAGACGGACCGTCTAGATATCTAAACGACCTTCTTATAAGACCCAATAATTTATTTGCCTGATTTACCTTCTTTTCGCAATGGCCCGAGACTAATTCAGGGCAGGATGCAAATGCATTACAGGAGGATCTAAATAAACTGCAGGGGTGGTCTGAAAAATGGCAAATGAAATTCAACACCAGCAAGTGCAGCGTACTTAATATTGGAAGAACAAATACTGTCAATGCATACAGCCTTAACAACATCAACCTAGAGAAGTCGACTTGTGAAAGAGACCTAGGGGTACTAAGCCCGGACCTACGGCCTAGAAAACAATGCGATAATGTTCGAAATAAGGTAAACAGAGTATGGGGTTTTATATCTAGAAGTGTAAGTAATAAGAGTGCAGAGGTCTTACTGCAACTATATCTTGCGCTAGTCAGGCCGCACCTCGATTATGCGGTTCACTTCTGGTGCCCTTATTATAGAATGGATATCAATTCACTAGAGTCGGTACAGCAAAGAATGACGAAAATGATTCCGGGACTTAGAAACCTTCCATATCAGGATAGGTTAAAGAAACTAAACTTGCATTCCCTAGAAAGACGAAGAGTGCGGGGAGATATGATTGAAGTATTTAAGTGGGTGAAAGGAATCAATAAAGGGATATACAGTAGATAAAGTTCTTTGTAATATCCGAGCAGGATAGGACTCGAAGCAACGGATTTAAGTTGGATAAGTTTAGGTTTAGGAGGGAGATAGGAAGGAACTGGTTCACAAATAGGGTTGTGGACGAGTGGAAGAAGCTTAGCAACTTTGTAGTAAGTGCTGAAACGCTGGAATGTTTCAAAAGGAGACTGGATAGATTCATGGATGATGGAGAATGGTAGTAACTCTCGACAGGAGCTGCCATGCACAGGCCAACCGGCCTATTGCAGACTCCTTATGTTCAACATACATATCTAGGTCCTTTTCACATTCAGTCTCAAATAGTGCAGTTTCTTCATCCCGTTGGGACATATGATGCGCTTCCTTACCGTTGGTACGCCCCAGGTGCATCCTCTTACACTTCGTGACAATGAATCTCAGCAGCCATTTCTTCGACCATTCTTGGAGCTCACAGAGATCCTTCTGCAGCTCTTCACAGTCCGCGTGGTTCTTGATTTCCCGAAATAACTTGGCGTCATCGGCAAACATTTGTATGGAGGAGTGTACAACATCAGGCATGTCATTTACGAAACAAACAAACCACAGCGGGCCCAATACAATGCCCTGTGGTACGCCGCTTGTGATAGGTACAGATGATGATTTCGTGCCATTAATCACCACACACTGCGTGCGGTCATGTACAAAGTCTTCTATCCACGCTAGGACATTTCCCTGAATTCCGTACCCTTCCAATTTGATTTTCAGCCTTTCGTGGGTACACTGTCGAAAGCCTTGGCAAAATTTGGGTATATAATGTCGATATTACCACCCCGTTCCAGAATATGGGTCCAAATATCCAATACCTTGAGCAATTATGTTAAGCAGGAGCGCCATGGCATAAAACCGTGTTGGCAATCCTTTACAAGGTTGTTTCGTAGTAGATGTTCCATCGCGGCGTCTCTGATAATACTCTCAAGTGCTTTACATATTATGCTGGTCAGGCTCACCGGTCTATAGTTGTTCGTGGAGTGACGATCGCCCTTCTTGAAGCTAGGACTCCATAAGCCACTTTCCAATCACTGGGGACCTTTTGTTCATCCAGGCATTTGCAAAACAGGATCTTCAGGGGTTCGGCAAGCTCGTTGCACAACTCTCTTAGCTCTCTGAAATGCACCATGGCAGGGCCGGGACTCTTATGGACCTTTAGCTTTGACAGTTTATTTCTAATACCCTCTTCTGTGAACACAATGTGGGTCAGTGCTGTGTCGAAACGTCTGTCCTCAAACGCAGGAAGGTTAATCGTATCCTCTCTTCTGAACACTGAGGAAAAGAAGCTGTTCAA